CGTTCTAAGCACAAAAAATCTTAAAATACATAATCTTACTAAGATATACTTATATTTTGAAGATAACAACCAACATAAATTTAAATAAAACAATTAATCAAAAATTTAAGATATTTAGAGTTAAAAAGATTATAGTTGAATTTAGAGAAATAGATAGAATCCAATATATATATATATATATATATATATATATATATATATATATATCCAAATGATAAAACTGAGTAAATATAATATATCTAAACTTATATATAACTAAAATAATATAATATTATTAATATAAATTATACATAAAAATTATAAATTAATATAAAAGTTAAAGTAAATATCAATCAACTATTATAATATATTTATTTTATAAATATTTATGCCTGTGCATGAGCACGGGAAAATCACCTAGTAAATAGATAGTTGTGGTAAACTTAGGTAGTGGATACAGCTTCTCTGCGTGAGCTCTTCTTCTTCTTCTTCTTTTGAAAAACTTTGGGCATCTTTGAACTTAATCCCACTGCTGCAATGGAAGGCAACGTCCTTAGAGCCCAGGCCCTTCCTCTTGCACGGCATCAGGTGGCTTATCTCCTTAATCCCACTGTGTTACGTTGCAGCAGGATACATAGTAAGCCTTCTTATTTGATATTGTTCAACCTTCTTCTCTGGTTGTTTCCTCTTACCGATGTTGACTGACTTTGTTTTAACCAGGCGGTTCGGTGGAGGAGATCGAAGAGGATCCGATGAAAGCCTTTAATAGGGCTACTGAGGCGATTTTGGCGAGAAAGGGTACCGTTGCCCCGATCGTTTCAAGGGACAAGGTTACGGGAGTGAGATATTCAAGTATTCAACCTTCTCCATTTCTCAACTTGCACTCTCGGCTGTTTCTCGATCACAAGAACAGCATCATATTTTTGTTTTAACATAAAAATTACATATAACCAAGTCCCCAACTAAATTGTGTAGCTTTGCCACTTGACATTAATGTTTTGTTTATGTTCTTTTGCGAGGCTGTGGATCAGTGAAATGACCAAATTAATGACTAGCAATTATTTTTACAAGGATAAAAAGACAACGACCACATTATCATGACAAGGATTTCACAAAATCAAACATACAACTTAGAGGGTGATTGGTTGTTGCTGTAGATGCTTTAGAAAGCCAAAATTTAGTTTAGAGACATATAACTTAACCAATCAAGCTTTCCTTTCTTTAAAAAACCTACAGCAAAAAAATCTCTAGAAAATAAAAAAATAGCTGTAGAGAGCTTTGTTTCTAGAGCAAAAAATTAGTGCTTTAGAAAGTTACAGCAAAAGAAGGTACAGCAAATAAATCTACAGATTAATTAATTTCTACAGCTAAAAACATAAAGCTACAGCCCTTACCAATCAACCCCTTAAATGAAAGGTTTTTTTTTTAAGTCCTGATTAAGCATAAATAGATTAAGCATAGATAGATAGTTGTGGTAACTTAGGTGGTGGATACAGCTTTTCTGCGTGAGCTCTTCTTCTTCTTTTGAAAAACTTTGGGCATCTTTGAACTTAATCGGAAACGCTTACCTATGCATAGTAGTGCAAGAAAAGAAAACATAATGTGAGCGACAACGACCATATGCATGTACACACACATTATTGATAATAAAAACAAATAGACGACACCTTTACGAGGCTTGGAGGTGCTACTAACGATGCCAGACGACAACTTTTCCTGTCATACATAAATGGCGCTGTAAGTAATAATCAAAGTAATGAATACTTCTAAACCAAAATAAAAAGAAGATGTAGATTTTATAAAACCTGAATATCAATTTCAGAGACAAGAGTGGTCTGATCCTGGTCAGAAGATCCCTTTAGACTCTTATCAGACTGGATTATTTGCTTACAGGCAGAACAACGTAGCAACGAGACTTGAGAACCTAGTGTTTTCTTCATCCCGACCAAACTGTATATCATTAGCAACAACAACAACCTTACATAATGTTAACAACAAATACCACCAATATATAATTCTAAGAGAGAGAGAGAGAGACTAATCAAAAACAAACAACACACCTTGATGATGGCGTCTGAGGCTTGGAGGTGCTAGTAACTACATCAGACGACAACTTTCCCTGTTATAATTATCATAGTGATTAATAATAATAGAACTTACGAATTTCTCGACCAAACAAAAAAAGAAAGAATAGATTATAGAACCTGAATATCAATTCCGGAGACAAGAGTGGTCTGATCCTGATCAGTTCCCTTCAGAATCTTATCTGATTGGATCTCCAACGAGACTTGAGAGCCTTCACGTAGTTTGGCCAATCTGGGCGGCAACAAGAACCATCACCATTCATATAGATCTAATATATATATACTGCTAACAAAATTAATTAATAAGTATCAAAACCTCTTTCGATGGAACTCAATACTATAGAGTGAGAGACGTTGGGATCGAAAACGGGGACGTGGATGACAACGCCCTCGTCCAAGTATGCCCCGATCCATTCCCATGACTTACTCTGCCTCCTAAACAAACTCAGGAAAAGAAGTTAGGAACCCTAGCTACATTCATATATATACCAAAAATTGTGGGCCTAACCGAGGCCTAAAATTTGTTTAATAATCGAACTTGCTTCATTACAACTATTTTGAGGGGGTGATTCCACAATGAAAATACAAACGATCGTTAACAGCTTCAGATTCATCTTCTTTGTTATAGTTTCTCAATCAAAAGATGATGTCAAATCCATCTGTAAACATAAAAGCACATATGTAAGTGCATAATAAGATCAATAAATTACAGAAAACAATGAATAAAAATAAAAATAAAACATGCATATAAAAGATGAATTAATGAAAAAAAAAACGAATCAAAAGGCATGCAAATAGAAGATGTTTCTATTGATTTGGAACAATTAAAAATTTCCAGAAACACTTAAGAAGAAAGAAAATTAATGAACCTGTGATTGATTTTGATTCTTCCAATTCTCAGATAAAGCATGAGACAGAGAAACAAAGAGATTTATGGTTCATTTTATTGTTATAAAATTGAATCAAAAAACTTTGTTTTTTTAGGATTAAGGTTGGTAGCCGAAAGGAAACTAGAAGTGAGAACAGGTAAGAGAAGATAATACATAGAAATTATATAAATATAACAGCTTATAACATAAATTATATATAAGATCGGTTTAGCTCGGGTGCTTGGTTGGGATTCGGTTTACAACCGAACAATCGGTTATCCGAAAGCAAAGGTGTTAAGACCCATTCGGTATTTAACAAGGATCCAATACCGATCCGAACCCGCTACTTTGGTTCGGGTAAAGGCATGAACTTCGGTTATAGTTGTTTACGCCTAGGCCTAATCAAACTTCACGCATTGCTTTGCTTCATTTAATATATATAAAATTTCTAGTGTTATTACTGTTGGAACTAACTAAAGACATGTTGTGTCCTTATATTTTCCTTTAGTGGAATATAACTGGAACATGAGCTTGATTGTTGTATCGTGTAAACACAATATAGATATAAATACAGAGAGATTTGAGTGAAGTATAGTTTTCTCTTTCTTGACTTTCGATTTTTGTATGATAGACATGTGATTATATTGCGCGTATCTATAACTATAATGTTCATCAGTGGAGAGTGAAACAAGTTCCATCCTACTGCTATTACTACTGCAGAGACTCATGAGTCATGAATCACGGATTCAAATCATAATCGTGTGGGATTAAAAAGAAGTGATATGATTTCTGCAACACCGTTTGATTTGTAAACGCTGAGTCTTGACTTTTCTATCTTAATGACTTTTTTCAGAGACTAATCAATGAATACTGTGTTTTTGGCAATGGAAGTACTACTTATTCAAGGATGTGATAGATATCTCAAACTATTTTCTGAATCTGATGGTCTTTGATCAATAATATAAATGGTAACTGTTACTAATGAGATATGTTTCTAGAATTAAGAAAATCGAACTGTGACAATTTTTATCGGAGGAGTTAGGTGTCATGACGGCAGAAAAAGTCGAAATGGAAAAACAAGTGTATCAAATCCAACTTTTTTTTTTTGGTAAATCTTGTTGGCTGATTCGGTTGGTCCCAGGAAAAACACATTTAGTACTATAGAGTGGACTACCTCAAAACTCTATCACATTGTCTGATCCGAATTTAGAATACTTTCCGACTAATACCAAGAACTGGATCGATCATTTGTTACAATCCACCATGTTAACCACTTGAATCTAAACCCAAGCCCGAACTGGCCAAGTAATGATAATTTAGTTCTCAATAGAAATCGAATCCAAGACTGATATAAATACACACTAAATCCCAAGAGATTACTGGACTTCCACCATTTGGTTATAATCCGTCATTTTCGAAATGGAGAAACAAGTATGACATATTTTAGTAAATATTTTTGTGAGGATTCAACTAACCATTAAAACGTATATATATCATAATAAAATTATTGATTGATGTTTCGGACAGACAAATATTTTATTTTATTTTATTGTTCAGTTACTTAAAAGGATAAATATTTTCTTTGCAACATTCAGATGTTTGGGTATAATTGTTCACTCCTTTTTTAGACAAATGAAACATCATGTTGTGTAAGATGCCCCGATCATCAAGTTGACAGTAATTAATAGTAACATTTTGAGATTTCAATCGTTTCCAAATAAAGAATATTACTGATAACAAAAAAACATTACTGATAGCTCCATCAGTAATTGTGCCCTATTTTTTTTGTCATTGATAAAAGTTAGGGCTTGAGTTTGACACCTTTGAAAATGGAGCTATCAATTACTGATGGTCCATGTTTCATTTATTGACTTTCACTTCTTCTTTGTTTTGCTCTGTTAATTCAATTTTGTTGTTTTACTCCAAACACATCCTTCCTATACATTTCCTTGAAAATGCTACATGCCAGTTTTTTAGTATTCGACCAGCATACATAACATAGTGCAGGCCCGGCCCTGATAGTGTATGTTTTAAATTCGGATAACCTATATTCTACTGATGATTATGTTAATATACGAGGGGGGAAATGATGTATATTGGTGAATGGATGCAAATAGAATAGTGTACGAATACATATGGTATAGTTTAGATAAATTATAAGATTTAGGTTATATATGTTGGTACTAGATAATGACACATGTAAATGCATTTATAGATTGCCCACAAAGAGACGTTTTCTTGGTCTAACAACTTTCATATACGGCCATGAAGTTTCAACCCACTCCTCTTCACAATACTACAGAAATTATGGTTTCCGGGTGTTTTCCCTATTTAGTTCAACGTTGGAAGCATTGACGTATTTAGGGTTTGAATTGACTCAAGTTGACATTTTCTGTAGGCTTCAAATAATACCATTTATATATTTTTGTAATCGATCGTTAAATAGCTATGTATACCAGATCGAGATAATAGTGCCCGATGCATATATGTTCTTCGTGATGGTTAAATAATTCGCAACACTTAAGCGCCATTGATTGATTATATTAATTTTTATATTTACCTGATTTTGCAAAACACAAGTGTCTTCAAAAACATATAAAACATCGAAAGATATAAAGAAGAAAAAAGAGCATAAAAGCTCGCAAATTCAATGTTTTACAACCACAAATTCATTTAAATACGTAGTCTTGGATATAGATTGTAGATATATTTCTTTTTTTTTTGTGTGCAAAGATTGTAGATATATTTCATTATCTAAAAATAGGTGAGATGGGGAAACGTACACGGCGAACGAGGAGGATTTCTATTTTTTATAAAAAAATCGTTTGTATGGAGAATCAACGCCCAAGCAGCTGTCTGTCCCCTCAGAGTTATTAACTAAATAAAGTTGAGTTTGTCTGTTAGTGACAAAGAACGCGTTTTAGGGTTTAGAACTTTAGCGGTTACAATATTCCATTTTAATCATACATTTCATCTCTCTTGACATTGACTCGTTCTTCTTCTTTTATTTTGGGTCAAAAATTGTTATTTTTTTAATCTTCTTGATCTTGGGACACCCTAATAATTAACTAATAGTACTATTAATATAGGAAATACATCAGTTTTTTCTTATTTTCAATTTGTGATAAAAATCACCAAAGCCGCAATCATCGGTATATGTTTTCACTCAAACATGAGAAACCTCCATCTTAAGTCAACAAGTTTTCCCTCCTCCTGCTTATCAGCCAGAACGAATATGTTAATGTAAGATAATCAAGCTATATCAAGTAGAACACACAGTAGTACAGGGTCAATTCTTCACAAGAAATACGACTAGATTAATTCTTTTAAAAGTACACAAAGTTCTTTATAAAAGCAATTAAACATACAAGCTCAAGACAAACCTTGACTTGTTTAACTAGCCTTACACGTTCAAAGACTCACAACAGTCTCTGANTTTTATATGCGGAGCCAACCTAGATCTGCACATCTAACTTCGATGGAAACTTTCCATTTCCAGTTCTTCAGCGAATAAGTCAATCTCCCTTTTCTTCAAGATTCGATTGATTCTTCCTCAAGTCTTTCCTTTTTACTCAAGACTTCAATAACTCTTTTATTAATACTCCCTCCAGAACTCGTGCTTCTCTTAATCACTCATCTTGTAGTCATAGTTCCTGTCGCACTTCATGAACTACTTTTGCACTGCTACACCACCATCTTGAGCATACATCTTCAATCTCCCCCTTTTTAATTCGTTGTCTCACAAGTACCTGAAATGTAATGCCACGAAGAATCCAACCACACACATAACACATATCCAGTTTATACAAATGTAAGGACTAAAATACTCAAGATCAAATGCAACTTAGATTATCCTAAATAAGGTCTGGAGCAAATAGTAATACATCCTTTTAAACAAAAGAAGTACATAAAAACAAAGCTCCCCCATAAACTGAGATTGTCTGAAAATAAGAACAACAAAAAATTGCAACAAGTGGTGCAACCCAAAAACAACAGAAAGATAAGCTCCCCCACAAACTCAGACTCGTCTACTACTCATTCTTCATCATTTTCTCCCCCTGCTTGTGAGCACACGGATTAAAAACCATACAGGAATTAAAGAAGTCAGAAGACATAATGAAAAGAAAACATACCAGGGACCAAGTTCTGAAGCTCTTGAACAACCTCAACCAGCGTCTGAAGTACTCGAGTTGTGTCCTGTAAAGCTGCTTGCATATCTGCGCTGGTGAGACCACCTTGAGGAATCGCAATGGAGCCTAACTCATATACAGAGACACGACGTGGTCTGGTTCGAGAGCTTGGTGTAGGAGTGGAGGAGACAGTAGCTGGTGATTGAGATGAGCGAGCAGATTTCCTTACCTTAACTTCCTCCTTGGCTTTTCCCTTAGCCTTGCGTTGCTCGTAAATCTCACCCACTCTTTTGTCCTTCTTGTAAGCAATCGGACGATCAACCTTATCAGCAAAGTGCGAAGGTACTTGATGCTGCTTCTGAAGCATTCCCATTATCAAGCGAGGGAAGATCAACCACCTAGAGTCATTCTTCTAAATTAC